AGTTCCAGCCTCAGAAGCTAATGGCTTATATAGCCTGCTGTGCTCAAAGTCACTCATGAATGTGAGCGAGCACATTTTCAAGAAGTGCTACATTTCTTAAAAGTTTCATTTCATCTCTGTGAAAAGCCAAAGCATCTATTCCAATTTCAACAAGTTGAGGTAAATCCTGTTTTGAACATACAGCACCTGCTGAGCACCTGCAAAGGCAGCCTCTGTCACCTCCATTTACTCTACTCTTCTTCTTGTGAATAGTATCTAATCTGACACTCTGCAGCATCCACCTGGTTCCCTGATCTGTGTATACTGCTGAGATTTCATTTCCTTGGACTTAACTTTCTCTCCTTTATACCAGGCCCTACACACTGCGACACTGTTCAGTATTCCTTTTTTGTAAAAATACGTATATTTACTTCCAGCTGAATCTTCTACAGAATCTGCTGGTAGAATGAATTTTAAACCACAGATAGGTTTTTGAAGCTAGATATTGATCTTCAATTATTTCTTTTTTGTATGTTTACTTCTTGACACAAACGTGTGATGTATTGATTTTAAGAGGACAAAAGATTACTTTGCTAGAAGCATAGGTGAACATTAACATTTCTATGCCTTGTCCAAGACATAAATAGCTATCAAAGGACATATTTCATGTTTCATTCATTCAGTGCTATTCTACGCCTAGCTTAACCAAGTCCTTGAGAATTCAGCTGGACTTTATCCTAGTCAGAATATATAGGAATGCAGTTGAAGAATGCCTATGATTTTACTGGTTTATATTTCCAAGCAATTGGAATTTAAAGCATTCTTATGTGCTATGGGCATTCTTGAAGGTAAGAATCTTAACCTGAGCAATGATTAGTGAAGCAGGTTTTATAATTATAACAGAAAAATGTATTATTTACAAGGAAAATAAGAATAAAAAAGCCTAACACCAAAAAAAAAACACCCAACAACCCTGGAGTACGTGCTCTGTGCCTGTAGGTCTCCCATTTGAGCAGAGAGTTAGACAAGAAGTGCTCTAAGATCCTTTCCAAGTTAGTTATTCTGTATTCTGTTCTGTAAGAAATACAGAAAGATTTGACCTCTGATTATTATCTCTTAAACAAAGAGTCAGCAGAGCCATAAACAAAGAACAGACATAGATGAAGTCCTTAACTTTTGATTTAATCACTCCTGCTTCCTTCTGCTCAGTAGGTAATGAGGTATGGAAGAATCAATGGCATTAAACTTGTTATCTTCCAACACGGACATCTTAATTTCCACATCAATCTTTTGAAAGTTCCTTCCTCACAATTTTTACTAAATAACTATGAAGAACTAATGCTTAACTCCTTTTTAATGAATTGCTTGAGGGAAATACTCTTCCAACAGACCTGAAAGAAATACTTTTGTTATCAATGTAAAAATATTTAATGCTATTTTTAGTCAGGAAAAATAAGAGCACTTTTCTGAAAGTTCAGAACAATTCCGCATTTGCTCACAGTCCAATCTGATTCCATTAATTCCATATATTTATAGTGGCTCCCAACTTTTTGATAATCCTGCTGTCATAAAAAGCCAGCATAACAATGACCCAATTTATGCCAATCTGGCTTCTCTTTTCCTTGGAGAAAACATGAAAATTGTAGAATGAAGACCATAATTATGCACACATTCAATTCACTTCAATGGGGCTCGGACCTTTTCTGTTCAGGATTTCTATCAGCATTTCTCATTAATCAAAGGTTTGCTTGAGACGCTGTGTTTATCCTTTTAGAAATCAAATAGCATTGAAAGAAGATTGGGGTTTGATTACTTTACACCATGCTTTGAAAATAACTTCAGTCTTCACTGCTTGCTTCATTTTTGTAAACTCAAAATTGCTGTTCATAAACACAGCATTAAAGAAGATGAGAAATAATCAATACTATTGAAGTGCTGATTTAGGAATGTCTGACTGTGAAATAATATTCTCCATACAGGAAGCCTCTTGGCCTCAAGGACCAACATCATTGTGGTCAAAACATCTTATCCTACAAGTCCTGGGAAAGAGCTGATGATGATGCTGTAGGACAAACATAGCAGGTTTTGTTTCCTAACTTCCAGTAATTTTGGAGTAGATTTATTTATTTATTTATTTATTTATTTTATTTGTCAATTATTTACAAGATAATAAGTATAAGTGTATACATAATTATGAATACATGATATGGGTACATATAAGAAAAATAAAAGAAAAATAAAAGAAACAATAGGACAGGGACGGTAGGCACGTTGGTGCGCTTATGCACGCCCCCTACAGACCTCTTAGGAAAGGGGTGAGGTCAATAGTAGACAGTCTAAGGTTAAAGTTTTTGGGGTTTGGGGAAGAAACTACAGAGTCGGGTAGAGTATTCCAGACATAGACCACTCTGTTGCTGAAGTCGTATTTCCTGCAATCAAGCTTGGTGCGGTTAACCTTGAGTTTGTATCTGTTGTGTGCTCTTGTGTTGTTATGGTTGAAGCTGAAGTATTCATTGACAGGTAGGACATTGCAATGTATGATTTTATATACCATGCTTAAATCAGACCGAATACGGCGTAATTCAAGGTTTTCTAGTTCTAGAATTTCAAGTCTGGTGGCATAAGGTATTCTACAATGAGTAGAGGAGTGGAGAACTCTTCTTGTGAAATATTTCTGGACTTTCTCAATTGTGCTAATATCAGATACGTAATGTGGGTTCCAGACTGATGAGCTGTATTCGAGTATTGGTCTAGCAAATGTTTTGTATGCTCTAGTTAGTAGTGTGATATTACCAGAGAAAAAGCTACGTAAGATTAGGTTAACAACTCTTAATGCCTTTTTGGCTATGTAGTTGCAGTGGGCTCTAGCACTTAGATCATTAGAGGTGAGTATTCCAAGGTCCTTTACAGAGCTTGGATCATCAACAAGATCTTGACTATTCAGCTTGTATTTTATTTTCGGATTTTTTTTGCCAATATGTAAGACAGAGCATTTATTTGTTGAGATTTGAAGTTGCCATTTGTTTGACCATTCTGATACACAGTCCTACTGGAGGTTTACTTACAGATTCCTACTGGAGGCAATTACTTGTTGTCTGAAGTAGTTGAAAGTCAAATATTGAATAATAATTCTAACTAAACTGAAACAGAGAGCCAGCTCAAGTACAGGATAATTCAGTTCCTGGTTATGACATAGGAGTGTATCATTTGGTTTTTTGGTAACCTGGAAGTGGCACAACCTTATTCCTGGAAGATTTCTCAGTTCCTCATCTAGCCTGAAGCGCTAGGATTTCCTCATGCATTGATAAATCCAGTCCAATCTCTCTCTTCTCTCTTCCCTTCCCTTCCCTTCCCTTCCCTTCCCTTCCCTCCTCTCCTCTTCTCCCTCTTCCCTCTGTTTTCAGCTTAAGTACAGATATTTCTCGACTTACAGCTACAACCGAGCCCAAAATTTCTGTTGCTAAGTGAGACATTTAAGTGAATTTCACCCCATTTTTGACTTTGTTTGCCGTAGATGTTAAGTGAATCACAGGCTGTAGTGTAGTTAGAATGGTTCAAGAAGTATCTTAAATATTCAATAGTATATAGACTGTGTTCACATATAATAATATGTCCAGAGGTTTTAAATGAGCCTCAAAGGTCTGGTTCATAATTCATTGTTAATCATTGGTATTACTTATCATTCTAAACTTAACATCCACCTTCTATAATGGCTAATCATAATGCATACTGCCCACCATGGAACTGTAACTTTTGGCAGGAAGCAGAGAAAAATTGAAGCAGAACTTTGAGTACTTCAGCAAAGTATTATAACCTAAGTTGCAAAAACTGGATTAGATTTCCATTCTAGCACTGTTTTGCTGGGTTAAGGGTATGAAGTATTGTGATGATATCCATGCCATATTATCTATATTTTTTGGTTGGTGGATTGGATTGTGTCTGCAAAGAACCAGTGATATTTTGTTTAATTATATGAAGATGAAAAGAACTTCCTGAATGAGGAGAACTGAACAGTTGTCTTTTAATTCTTGGTGCCTCCATACAAGAGTTAATTTTCTAAGGGCAACGTTGGTCAATGTTATTGCTGCAGATGCTGCACTTCCCCATGCCTATATAGCAGTGAATATTCTGCTCTCTCTTATAAAGAGCCATGGTGGTGCAGTGGTTAGATTGCAGTATTGCAGGCTAACTCTATTCATTGCCAGGAATTTGATTCTGACCGACTCAAGGTTGACTTAGCCTTCCACCCTCCTGAGAAAATGAGGACCCAGATTGTTGGGGGTAATATGCTGACTCTGTAAACTGCTTAGAGAGGGCTGTAAAGCACTGTGAAGTGGTATATAAATCCTACTGCTATTGCTCTCTTCAGGTTTCTGAAACTATTATCTAGTGTAGTTTTCATTGCCCATACAGAGTTCCTGAACAATTTTGCATTTTGTTTCCTTTCTCTCTATTGACCTATTGCTTTGCAACAGTCTGATCATTCAATAATACTGTGTAATAGAAAAGCTAATCCGGCTTGATGCAGCGTTGATGCCTATTCACCTAAGCCCCTTTTTTTCTATTTCTTGCTTGGGTAAAGGAAGGTATGACAATTGTGGTGATTTTTCCCAACATCTGTGACAGCCCATTAACCCAAACTTTTGTTTTCTGTCAAAGCCAAAGATAAAAGTCTATTGAAGAAGCCATGTTCAGAATCAAAATGCAGGCACAATTTGCTATCTGTGATTGCAGGAGAAGATTTCTCAGGAGTGTCTGGTAGGCAGGGAGACCCTGCTGGCCTCTGAGCAGCCAGAGAATACGTGACTTCAGATGCATCATAATTTGTGTTATTTCCTGAGAATGCTATAACTCAATTCTGATTAATAGGAGCCTCGGCAAGCAATATTCACTAACACGCTTGTCCATTCTTAAAATTTCTGGATTGCTATTGTAGATAATGAGGCTAAGGATGGCATTTGATCTCCAGGTTTTGTTTCCTGCTGAAATAAATCACACTTTTCGTATGTTTCCTCTTCCAGGTACCTGTGAGACAAGATATAATGTGGCATAGTAAGCGACAATTAATGTCTGCTGAAAGTGAAGTAATTGACTTATATCCTCCCCTGAATGTAACCAATGGGACCAACACCACGTGCATCCTTTTTTATGCAACTAATTTCACTCTTACAATCAACACCACCATTCACATGAATCTGACAAATTCAACATTTATTTTTCATGATGTGGACACGACTTCATCTGTTTGTTCCAATACCAGTGCAACGTAAGCAGGATTAAAATATTATTTCAGCATTGATCCTCTTTAATAGTAAATTAGACAAGCAGGTTACCACTCTTTAAATCACAAATAACAGAGTGAAAATACTAGAAATCCATAACAGTTCAGATTAAGATTGACTGTATTAATAAGGTAATTATGAAATTATACAGTTGCTTTTGTGCTTTTTGCATTTTAAAACATTTTTTCTTACAATCCCAGGCTTTTTACATTTTTACATTCACTTTATTTTGTAAATTAGTATGGATACAGTCCTGTAGACATTTACCTGAAGGCATTCTCTATAGCAGCGTCTACAGTTGCGGTCAAGAGGGAACAGCTTGACAAAAGTTGTTTGACTCAAGCTAAAATTCGTTTTACATGTGCATCAGGATGTCACATGGCATCTGGAAAACAATTTTGAGTAGACTTGCAGAAGCTTATGGACCAACACTCCTTTTTTATAGCCAGGGATGTGCAATCTGGGTAACTTTAAGACCTTTGAACTTGCTGATTGGGAAATTCTGGGAGTTAAAGTCCACAGGTCTTAAAGCTGCCAAGGTTGGACGTTCCTGGTTGAGCCTTCAAGAGATAAAAGTATTAACTGTATAGAATGTGCCTAAATAACCATCTTGTTATATGCTATGCACTTCAAGAGGAGTGTGTCTAGAATGCATGGGCTGCATAAGCATTTTCCTACATAGTTTAGGAAATTCCATGATTACACTGCCACTTAAATGACAAGCAAAAAGTTTGAGTTTACTTTATTGATTAGCTCTTGGGCCATATCAAAGTGCAGAGTTCCAGACACAAAAAGTATTTTTACTGAGATATTACCCATCAATTTCAGGCTGAAGAATGGAGTTCTTGGATTAATTCCAAAGTTCAACACATTTTAGGTAGAATTTTATAAGTGGATCATTATAAGTGTCCATGACCCAGACATTTGATTCTTGCTTACAATCATTACAACCCATGCAATGTATACAGTCTTTGTGATGGCCATTCTTTCTTTGTGCTACAGCTTGCTTCCAAAACCACAAAAGCAGCCATTTCAGGTGACCTTTTAATCCAAAATGACACAACCAAAATAATTGGTTGATTTTCGTGGACCCACATCTTCTGAAAAAAAATTCTTTCACAGTGCATCCCCCAAATTCAAAATGTGCAAAATTCTTCAGGCTCAACTTAAGTTGTGACCAGCAGTTATGAGGAAAAGTATAGAATGTTTGCATAATCAAGAAAGAGTTGTATTCATAATTTTATTGCAGAACATCATACTATTACAGTGGCATCCTGTCCCTGCAGAATGCCCCTTGTGTAGAAACTACATGTCCCAGAGTTCCTAACTAGACAGAAAAGAATTCTGGGACATATAGTTCCAAAATATCTGGGGGATGGCAAATTGGGAAAGCTGCTTCTGATAACGAATGCGTAGTCCTTTACCAATTCCAGCTGACATAAACATGGACACATCATAAGAAATTATGAGTATCTTATTAGAAAAGTAACAAAGCAAAACATTCACACTATAATACAGCAGACTTTCTAATGCCATTATGTTCAAAACATTTTGAGAGTGTTTGGACTAAGGGAGAGAAGAGTTGAAAGAATTATATATCTGGAAAATTGCTTTTCAAAACTGCTCTTTCAAGGGTATGGCCCATTTCCTATTTCTCATAGTAACTCAAAAAATGCATTCTATTTTTTGACGCACGTGATTGAAGAACTTAGCTACTCTTTTAATTGATATCAATCTTCCCCAGCCTGCCATTCTCAGATTTGTAGAACTGTAAATTCAGCTGATCTGCTGGTAGTGAAGGCCTGTTGACTAGAAAATGCTTAATTGTGGGAAATACTTTTATTTTTTTACTTCTATACAAGTTAAAATACAAACAGTACGACTAGGTCTTCTTTTATATAGTATTCCTTTCTTTCATTTCCAAAACAGTTACGTATGATCCCTTTCCACGTACACTCCACTCTTCCATGCTCTAATAATAATTTTTATTCTTTATTCTCATTCTATGAGACAATTCTTTAATTGTAAGATCTCATTCCAAGAAGCCTTTGGCAGACTTATATTCAAGTGAATTCTTAAGCGTTGCTGTAGAATCAAGTTCAGTTGATAGCTTTTCCACTTTTGTTTCCCAAGAAAAGAAGAGATTCTCCCATTGGGAGACTTCTATTTATTATTTCTCTGTATTTACTATCAATATGTTCAATATGTATATGCTCACTATATATACTATATTACTAAAATACTTCCCTATGTGTGAATTTCCCTATACTTACTAGCTCATTATCCAGATTTTATTTGAAAATAAACTGTTCACATTGCTTTCTTTTTTTTTCTTTATTTCTATTAGGTTGTCATTAAAATACACCAACTTGGAGAATGAGAAGATTGACATCAAGACCCTGGAAATAAGGTAGTTTAGAAAGATGTGGTGAAGCAAGAGAATCACATTGCAAATAAGGTTTATTATTTTATTATTATTATTTATATATATAAATCCCACCTCACATATAAATATTTTGCGCACACAAAACGTGATCACCACCCCTGTATCTATAAGTGTGTGTGTGTGTGTGTGTGTGTGTGTGTGTGTGTAGACTTTTTAATATGTGTTTTAATATGTAATTCCCCCCCCCCCCCTTTGCTGAGGGAAACAGTAGACTACTTTTGAAAGCAAAATGATTTTCGGAAAGGTTTAGGGGACATGGGATGATAGGTCATCAGTTCAAAATGAAAAAAAAAAAAAACCCTGAAGTTTTGCTAGGTCAGCAGTAGGCCTCTTTTGCCTGTTAGAGGACCAATTTTGTTTCTCAGTCCAGGCAGTGGGCTTCTATTTGCTTCCTTTGAATCATATATTATGCATCACTGAGACGATTTCACATCTCAATAGATGCATTATGAATGAATGTATATTATTAGAACAGTAAAGCAACAAAATCCAGATGGGCATATGCACCACCTTATTACTATCTCTCCCATTTTTGGAAGGAAGCAATTACAAAGTGAACTGATCTTCTCCCCTCAAAAAAATAAAATAAAATAAAGAAAATAACTAAGTATCAGCTAGGGATAATTTAGGGTAGTATTGCTCAATCTGTCCAGATATCAGCTTCCAAAATATTCCTGCATATTTTGCTTGGTTTCTTTCCATCTCTTTTGGCTGTCTAAACATAATATTGCTCCATTTTCTCTCGAAATAAAGGGAATATTATGGAGATGCTTCAACATTTTCAGATTTTGCCACTTAGGTCTACTGACTTGCTTCTCCATCCTACAGCTCTGCATGCCTCATTTACTCTTTTCATATTATATCCCATTATGTAGTGATGTACTGATTAGATGTGTCTTTACTGACAAATCTGTATTGTTGTATGGCTAGATTACATCATCTTAGATTGTTCCTATCTGTCATGTAGGTTGTCATTTATTTACCTGCTGTTTGCAAGTCAACCAACTCAGATAGTCAAAACAGAAACAAGTGTATAAATCACAGCAATTCCCATCAAGACAAAACCCAGAAAATCCTTCTCCCTTGTATCAAAGAACTGGTGAAGTTAACTGGTTCTGTAGAGTAGTGATTGCAAGAAGAAATACAAGTCCAGTGAATACCAAGATCACATCACTTTAGAATCAAAGTGGCATGAACACACAAAGTTTACCTGTTAAGGGTGAATATGTCTATAGTAGTGCAGCTAGGACCTAGGACCAGATTATATTTATTCATTTTTTTAAAAATGATTCTTCTGAGAAATGAATCGCTTTACCTGAAATTGGCCATGCACATTCTGGATCTTCAATCCTGCCTAAACAAATCAATCGTACAGCACTGTAGGGAAAACACAGCTCGCTATCGAGGTCAAACTGGAATGACTGGAAAGCAATTTATAACAAACAATAAAGACTATCTTGGGAATGAATAAATAGAATAACGCGTACAATGGATTTAAATTTAAAAAATTAAATATTTTGCCACATGCTTCAGGATACTATTATTAACAAGACAGCCAAGAGACCACAACACTTAGCAATGTTAAAGTGCAACAGTTATATTTTTCACTAGAACAGCCTCTGGCAGAACAGCTAATGAAACACTTGCAAGTAATATAGAATTCAAGAAGTCTGATTTAAAAAAAAACTTCAGAAGAAAATGTTAAGTTATAATAAAAATCGTGAGCTGCAAGCAGGCCAAACTACAACATTAATATTGATGGGAACCCCAGCAGCTATTGCTACTCCTGATTAGCCACACTTATACAAGACAAACTCTTCCTTATTTAAATTATTTCTTAAATTATTACCGTGCTTCCAACTCCAACAGACAAATATTCCTAAAACTTAGAAGAGGGGAAATGTTGCAACAGTTGAACTGTAAAAGGAAATTCATATTTATAGGAGTATAAGATGCTCCCCTAAAGCAGCACATACTACTTTAGATGTTCACTCTAATGCTATTTCTCTAAACAGCAAGAACTTTCAGGATTTCAATTTAGGAAATAGGTTTACTGTATCGAAGGAGGAAAAAAAAAACATGGCTCTGAACAGCTGTCATCTAGTAATCAACTAAATTTTTGCAGCTCAGATTTGGTAGCTTTAGACTCAACTGGAGATTTCTTCCAATGGTCTTCTTGATTTTTGAACTGGAAATGTTAAGGAGTAATTCTTGAATCTTGTCTGTTTCTATTATCCCGATCACTAATGAAGACAAAGGTAAAAGCTAAGAAAAAAAGGTAAAAGCTGAGGCAGAAGTAGAAGTGGCTATTATATTGAGCATAAGCTAAGAAGACAAAAACCAAAAACTGAGAATATGAAAACCAGTGCCAAAAACTTGGTATTCTTGGACATATTACAATAGCCTAGCAAAGTACTTTATTAATTAATCTCCAAGGTCCCCTTATGTCTATGAAAGAAGTTAATTTCCTATACTGTTTCTGTGATCCAATTTTTGATGTGTGGGAACATTTTCAGAGATATGCTGCTGCCACACTCACGTGTACATATTTTTATCTTTCAATGAATGTAGCAATCTTCTTCTAGAAGTCCCCTTTTCTAGGTAATAAAAGCCTCTTCTGCCCTCCACCCAAAGAAAATAAGCATACCTCTTTTGGGGACTGCTGTCCACCACATTCAGAAAATTAGCCAAATCCAAATGTCTTCAATTTTATGTGAGTATATATATTTAAAAGGACAAGAAATCCTTGGAATCTATTTGTCAATGTTCTTGAGGTAATTCCCCATTAGGAGAATGAGTACACACAGGGAGGCGTAGTGAGAGTGGTGAGGAATAACACACAACCAGCACACAGATACACTGTATAGTAATATGTAGGTTTTCACTTCCAGTAAACAGTTAAGCAAAGTCCAACAAGCAGTCCAAGTCATACACAGTTAAAGCAGTCAGTTTTCGGTCCAGGGATAATCCAAAATCAAAATCCAGTATCATAAACAGTTCAGTAAATAGACTCATATCAAATCCAAGAAGAACGACGATCAGCAACAGTCAATAGGGAAAAAAATGCAAACCAACCAACATCGAGCATCAGAACATCTAGCAACAACAACTAGCAACACTCTCTGGGAAACCAGGTTTCTGGCTCCATCTTATGGCCATTTGACACCCAATTACAATTTTTAGCATTCCCTTAAAGAGATAGTATTAAAATGTCTATCCTGGTTTATATATTTCCAACCCAACTGTTAGGTGACTTACATTCCTAACAAATGTCAAACAAAATCAGTGGTGCTAATATACACTTTGAGACCTTGTACATCTCCCTTTTCTGATCCACATGGTTTACTAGGAAGTAAGCACTTTTTCATAGACAAACATTAAAAAGTAAAACAAAACAATGAAACATCAGTTGACTGTTGGACACACAGTTTAAATAATAAGACTAAAAGTTGATCTGCTTATTGTTTTTCTCATCACATACTACTTTCTCTTGCTGTGTATGTGTGTTTTGTTTGATCCCTTCTTTAAATATATGGCCCTACCTTTCATCCCTGAGGTGTAATTGTGGTTGCCCACCTGAGCAGAATGTTGGGTTTTTACCTCCAAATGTTTCAGGTATATCTGTATCTAATCTTACTTTCTGGTGCTTTTGATTCTTCTCCTACAATTATCTCAGAATGACTCTTTGTCATATTTTATTCCTCTCTAGATTCTTGATGACCAACATGTTCTATACTAGTTCTTCAAAGAATTGGTTCACCTTAGATTTTGTTCATATTCTGCAAGATAACAGGGATGCTGAAGATGAGCCTGCTAAATTTAATGTCTCTACTATCTATGGTCCTGCGGAGTATTCATTTCATTGCCCCTTGGTGGGCACGGAGAGCCACTATGATGTATTACTAATTCCAGCCAACGATAAAGCTAAAAACTGGAAAATTGATATTTCTGATTTTCAAGTGAGTACCTATCATTATTTAAGAAACAAATACCAAGAGCTCTAACTCGGGGTTCTAGGGAACTGAAACTTAATACCATCTATGCATTTTCTTCAGGAGTAAAGGGAAGTTTTAAAAAACTAAACAATTTCAATGCCTTGCTCATGTTTGGTCTATGGTGACTTATCCAGTAAGGCAAGGATAAAAATTTATTTAATATCCAAGGCTGCAGTTGTCAAGGGAATTAGAGAAATAAGGGACACAAGGAGTGCAGAGCTGAGTATTTTGGAAGGGAAATCAAATTTGGAAAACTTTCATTTTTAAGTGTTATATTTGGAGATAGTGTATATTGCCTTGGTCTGGTTGATGAGGACGATGAAGAGGCAAGGGCATCTAGAAACAATATTTTCTAGTAGTAGAAGAACTAATCAGTCCACTCTAAATAGGGACAGTTCTAGCAAATTCCCAGGGCCCCTTGCCTGCACCTAATAACAGCATTTCAGATTTGATCCGGCCAGACCAAAGAGCAGAATTCTCTAGAGTGTTGAGACCTGTAAGAAGCAATCCAATAGAAGAGCCAATTCTGAAGAATAAACTTCCACATCTATGTCCCCAAAGTGTTTTCTCAAGAGACAACTGAACTTTCTGGGTTTTTTTAAAAAAAGATTTTTGTTTCTCATCCAAGGAGCTGAAGAAGCTCCTTGGAGAAGAAGTGACACATCTTTTAAAAAAACAACAACAGAAAGTCCAGTTGCCTCTTTAAAAAGCACCTTTTGAGACAACCATGACCTGGATGACTGAGAATCTCCATCGACATTCCACAACTACGTATTGTGTGGAAGTTGAAGATGGCTTATTGATTGCCCATACTCCCTGAGAGAAAATGCTGAAAGCAACTTTCCAAGCATCAGCTCTGTGATGTTTATCTTGCCATGAACTTGAATTTGCCAAGGTTGACCATGTTTCAGTTGCCATCTTGAGATACACTAAAAAGGACTCTCTTGCTTCTAAATGTTCTGCCTGAGCTGGCATATCACTGGACTGTGTCAGGCATCCAGCTTGGCTGGCAGCCTGCTGTGCCAGCACAATATGTAAATTTGGTCTCTTCCCCCATCTCAAGTCAGATGGAAACTGTAAAGTCTGTTTTCAACCATCATGGTTATATAGGACTTCAAAGGCCAAAAGAAAGGAACTTGGAGTCCCGTAGATCCCAGCCTGCAATAATTGAAATATTATGCTGAGTAGCAATTGTAAAAGCAATATATGAAATACATACAATAAAAACATACTTCCCCCTTCCATCAAAACATATAACTGTAGCTCTAACTGGACTGTATACTTTCAAGCTCATGTTAATGCCAGACTAGTTATTTGTGCGCTACACAGCATGCAACTACATATTTTCCCCATTTAATTGCAAGTGACAGAAGGGAACATTAAGTTTTACTGGAACATATATTCACACAGAGAGAAACCTCTCATTCCCAGCATACTTGGTCAAAAATCCACACAGATGCACACACACACACACATATTTAAATGGCTAGGGCCCATCCTGCATACTAAAAGTCCGTGTTGCATCCATTTCTGCTACTTTTTGGTAATGTCAGAAATCCTAGTGGATTAATTAGGCTAGGTAAAATCACGGGGAAAATGCTAAAAGAAGGCAAGTCCATTGAACCTCCATGAGACTGAGTTTGACTTGAGGACATTTCTTTCTTTCTTTTCCAGCTGTAGACACGGTAAGAGGAGAGCTGTGCTCCTCTGTGATAGCCAATAATCAAAGTTGATGGGATGTTTTCAGAATAAATTTAATTGAAGAGCATAAGTTTTCATAAATTAAGATGAGGTGGGGAGGGGAATTCAAATGAAGAGAATGTGTATATGTCACTGGTATGTCATACATGTGAGACAAATTCCAAGGGTCTTTATCAATTAAAAATTGAAATGTGTTGAAAACCCACTGGGATCCTTGAGACCTGCCAGGATAAAGCAGCCATTTTGGAAAAAAAGAAACATGAGCAGCTCAAACAAGGTAGACCTTGTTAAACTCATATGCATCAAAAGATTTTAGCTACCTCATAAGGTCTCAGCAAACAAATTACATGAAAGCATTTTAAAAATCATGATTTAGCTTCAGAATAATGGAGACAAACTATGATGAATATTAGACCTGGAAACCTTGTCTAAAGACTTTGATCAAAAGATATAAGAAAAAAAAAGTGGGTTTGTGTTTTTTTTCCAAGTTTTCCCACCAATAAACTGCCGGGAGTTTCATCTTTACCTTCTTGTTAGAATATAACTAATCTCAAAGTGATGGCAAAGCTTGAGAAAAAGGGTAGCTGAGGGCAGACATCAAAGCATGCATTATTAAAGCCAAACCAGTTGAGGTAATGAAGGTTCCATACTGAGTAGGAGCCAAAAACAAACCAGATAGGTTTTTTTTTGGTTATTGTTGCTGTTGTTGGCAAGATTAACAGTGCAGCAGTATCTGTAATGTAGCCCATTCAGTGCTTACTAACATCAAAGCCTTTAATAAGTTTCATGCACTTTTAACTCCAAGTGCAGCATCTAGTATGTTTTATTTAATTCCCATTCACTGGTCAGTGTGAACTAAAAGGATACGCATGACCTTTTTTTCCCATTGAAATTGTATTCTTTCGCTAATGAAAGATTGTCTTTCATGTTTTCTTTCTTTGTGGTGTATACGCATGTGCTTGAGACAGACGGAAATTATCTTTGCAATTTTTGCAAAGCGTTTGAGGAGGAGCTAACCGATGATTTCCAGTTTAAATTCTCTCCATGTCTAAAATACATACATAGACTCCTTCTTCAAAACTGTCATCCTACTTGGTTCCAATGTAGCAGCAAGAACAAAACATGCCACGTGATGGCAATAAGGTGGTTGAGCCAAAATAAGGATCCTATCTTATTTTTGTTTGGATGAAAACAGAATCAAGAATTATGATGGGGATATTTAATGGTATTTCATCATAGGTCCAAACTGCCTTCCCCAAATACACATAAACAGCACAGGTGATAAAATAAAATACTATGGGACATGACAAAATAATGATCTACATGTTGAATAATAGCTTCTCTAGCACTTGTTTCTGGGCACATCCCAGTAGAAAAAGCTGCAGCTATTGCAAAACTGTGCCACCAAGACCCAACTCTAGCCAGTAGCACTGAATATATCAGTGGTATCAAAAGCTCCAAGAGACCCAGAGAATTACTAGAGTTGTTCAGAGGTGGTTATTCAGCAGGTTCTGACCAGTTCTGGAGAACCGGTAGCAGAAATTTTGAGTAGTTTGGAGAACTGGCAAATACCACCTCTGACTGGCCCTGCCCCCATCTATTCTCTGCCTCTTGGGTCCCAGCTGATCAGCTGGGTCTTCTTTTGTTGCCCTGCACAGGAGAACAGAGCTGGAAAGCAGGTTAGTGGGGTGTGGATTCTGCAGTAACTTTCCCCCAGGAATGGGGAGGGAATGGAGATTTTTCAGTAACCTTCCCCTAGGAGTGGGGTGGGAATGGAGATTTGACAGTATCCTTCCTCTGCCACACCCACCAAGCCACGCCCACAGAACCTGTAGTAAAAATGTTTGAATCCCACCACTGGGGTTACTCTCCCCATCTAGTTCCAGAGACAATCACTCAAAGAAACATCCATTATTATCAAGGGGACAGTCCAACCTGCCAATTTCATCAGGGAAGAATGGTAAAGGAATAAGCAAAGGAATTCTCATGTCTCTACATCCAGTAACTGTTCACATCCTTAAGATCTACAAGATAAAAATAATGCACATGAATGGAATGAGCAATTGCCAAGATCACTTCTTGGCTATCTGGAATCCAGATTGTGACAATTATGATCACTCTATCTGCAAATAACAATGAAAACTGCCCAAAGTGAGCCTTTGGACATACCATTTTCTCTGCCCCAGCGCTTTCTAAAAAAAAGCATATGCTGTGCAATGCAACACAAACAACAAAGCAAGCCTCCTTTGCTTCATCTTCTGCTCCAGAGTTGGAATTCAATGACTGATTCCATCTCTATCCAATAAACATTATTATTATGCTTTTCCACTTGTATATCATGACATAGACAAGCAAAATTAGGACTACCATCCATTTAGTTCATTCTCATTAAAATGCCAGATCAGACTGGCTTCATGATTTTTTTAAAAAGGGATTATTGCCTCCTCATAGCTGAGATACGTCTTTCACACATACTGTACATGCTCATACACACTGACTGCCTAGATGACCTGTACTAAAGCAATCTTCCCTTGAGCCAGAAACCATGTGCATTTATAATCCAATCTCAAAAATTCAATTTCTGGGAAATATGATTGACTTCAGTTGCATCTGCATGATAACGATTATCTGGGCATATTTCAATTAGTTATGTCACATCTTGGCTAATGAAATATGTTTTATGTTGGGAATTGCTATGACTTATGTTCTTGCATCAGAGATCCAATCATTTAATGGATGCATGTCATCATTATTATGGGGTTATCTTAGGCTGTTAACCAGGGCAAGACACAAGAAAGGAAAACACTGTGCTGGTTAAGTTTTTTTACTAAATACAATTAAACATGTTGGTGTTATCCCTGAAAAGCCTAAAGAACTTAGAGTCCAAGAGATCTATAGAAATGGTCCGTTTGATAATTTCCTACTATCAAAGATTCAGCTAGTTTACATGTGAAAGAAAGCTCTTCAGGTTGCATTTGGAAAGACAGCAAAAGTGGCAGCTTCTAAGTACAAATTCATTTTAATCTTTCACTTTTAAAAACTTCCAGTTCTGTATTTCAATTTATTTATTTTTTTCAGTTGCTTTGGAGTCTTCATTAAATAGAAATGCAACATATTGAACCAGATATTTGGATGACTCATTTTTCTTTTTCTTTTGCAGATTCAAGCTTTCAATATTGAAAATAACGTATTTTCCTATGCAAGCGACTGCACATCATTTTTCACACCTGGAATTTGGATGGGTCTCGTCACCTCCCTAATTTTATTATTGATCCTTACCTATGGAATCCACATGATTTTGAATCTTACCACCAACAGTAGATTTGATGACCCCAAAGGTCCAGCTCTTTCAGTCCCTCAAACAGAGTAATGACGAAATTGTAGTTTTGAAGATCGTAGCTTCTCTGTCATTGGCTGGGCTATCTAAGGCCAATGAGCTGAGCTGAGTTTAATAAGTCCAGGGCTTCTGAGAGTGTCAGATAACTTATACTTGCTATGGGAGGAATTATATGCAAAGAATTAAAAATATGAGTTGCCTTCTTTGAAAAAGTGGGTTTTTTTAAGTATAGGAGACAATACAATAATACTTCTGCCACCCTTCATTCCGCCTCTTAATAATTACCAAAATTAAAATTCTGAGGAAAATCTGAGATTATTCATAGTTGTTTCCAATTATTAAAGAGATCAGTCTCTAGAGTCAGCTTTATAAATGGAATTTTTAAAAACCTATTATGCAGGTATTTAAGGAATGATTTAAATAAGGTCTTATTAAGAAAATGTACATTGAGATTAAAAATTCATCCTAAGCACATTTTAACAGAAAAGCAGGATATATATTTTAAAACTTTACTTTCTTGTATCTTCTTAAATATAACATTCATGTCTAATGCTGTGATCAGGTGAAATAGAAGAAATACTGCCAATTTCCTTTTTTTAAAAAAATACTCGGTATTAAAGGTCCTGTTATGCAAATGTATTTCTAACTGCAGTTGAAATTGAAACTGAGTTGCTTTCTCTAATCATCTTATCGGAGTGTTTTGCAACCTAAATAATAAAATGAATTTGAGGCACAGTCATATCGAAACTGCACGTTTAGTACTGCTGAAAAAAATGAGGATAATTGAGCAACTGTCACTTAACAATTATTATTTTTCATTTCCCATTTTTTATTTTGTTGTGGGGCTACTATGAAGGGGGTTTAAAATGATGACTACTACCAGATGGCAGTTGAAAGAAAATTTCTCTTGTTGCCATCTAATGGTTGACCAGATTTTTTTCAGCCCAGATATATTAGTTTTTGCCCCAGAAAGGTACAGAAAAGCACAGGATCACATTTACCAACATCCTCAAGCTTTTAGACTTGCATCTCAATTTTACTTTACTTTTTTCATCCATGCTTTTTCTTATTCCTTCAAGAAAACCAAAAGCATGCTTTGTTCGGGTATTTTCCCACGTCATTGTAGTTGTGCTTTTAAAGTTGTAGCGACTTTTCGGCAGAATCTCATCTGCCATCATCAGGCTTCTGTATTGTGTTCATCTGTGAGTCTGGCTTTTATAGTGGTTTCAGATTTAAATTTGGGGCAGCCTATTGCTGTGCCAGAATGGTTTTTTCTTCACCCTGATTGGTTGGGAGTCTTGGTCTGTGTTTATTGGTCTTGGAGTTTGCTATGTTCTGATTGATTGGTGTTTCTAATATCACCTGTCTGTTTTTTGGCTCTTTTTGTCTCTTGATTGGCTGGCAACATTGTGTTGCTTTATTGGAGCCAAAAAAGAGAAGCCTGATGATGGCAGATGAGATTCTGCTGAAACGTCACTACAACTTTAAAAGCACAACTACTATGACGTGGGAAAATACTGGAGCAAAGCAGAATGCCATATATATATATAATATATATATATATATACATACATACATATACATATACATACACACACACACACACACACACACACATATATATTTGTTACAGCAACAGATTCTTGTAGGTCTGAAATAATTGCTGTATCCTCTTACTTTTACTTTCCAGAAAAGTTTTCCTTCTATGGGCTGAGGCACCTTTTATGTTTATTTATTCTATTTATTTAGCGTATGGCACGGGTTAGCCAGGGATCACCGAGGTGACTGGCTGCCTCTGTGAAAGGAATTTTTTTGGTTGGAGTTATCTTTACCCAATGGGACGCCTGAATGCCGGTAGGCAACCAGGGGAGGCCCTTTTCTTGTCCTTCTGCGGTTTATTCGCTCACGGGAATTGAGCCACCGAGCTGCCAACCTCAGGGGTATGCAGGCCCAGCGTCTTAACACATGAGCCACCATGGTGCCCACCCTTTATGTGATTGTTGATTAGTTTGCAGCACTTCTTTCTGATTCCCAAGATCATTCCCACATTCCATTACAGTCTTAGAGTTTGCTCATCTGAAGTCACTTTATTTTGCCCTTCTTCCCACACACCATGAGCACATGCCCTTAGTCCTCCTAACATGATATAGTTATTAGCCTTTACCTATACCTATCATGCATTCACTGTAAATAAGTGTCCCTAAACTCTTATTATTATAAAGCCTACTTTACAAATAGTTGTTCAGGCTGATTCCAACTTTTGGGAGCTCCCACATACCACCCACAAAGAATACTTAACCTCCAATAGTTATGAGAAGAAATAATCACATTGGGCTATGCACTAGGACATGTTGGTGTCTCAGGTTTTCAAAGAGGACCTCGGGTGTCATTATCCCATCTATTCATGATAAATCTTTTTTTGTTGTCATTTGTAGTTTTCCCTAAAACAAGAATTCTAGGTGGAACTTTCTCTACGGTAATTGTATTAGAGGAGGAACTAGAAGTAGGGCAAATTGCCAGTCTGGTGCAGTGCTTAAGGCACCAGGCTAGAAACCAGGAAATTGTGAGTTCCAGTCTGCTTTAGGCATGAAAACCAACTGGTTGACCAGTCACTAACTCACAGCACATGTTTTTGTGTGGAGAAAATAGGAGGAGGAAGGAGTTATGTTCACTACCCTCAGTTATATATAAAAATAATCTTTAAAAAATATTTAAAATATAGATAAAATAGAGTTTAAAAATCTTTATAAAATAGAGAAGAAACAAATAGAAGAAGGTATGGAAAGATGGCTCCAAGCACGGGTCAAGTATTTCAGCGGAAACACACACAACCAAGAGTTCTCTCAACCAACAGGAAAGCAAACAATCATTTTCAGTATCAGAATTAAGTGAATGAATGAAATGAAGTCTACCCTTGGCTTTCTTTTGAAACTCTAACCCAGTTCCTTCTTCTGCCATCAAGCAACAATAAATACTTTCTTGTAATTTGTCTGTTGTGCCGAGTTTCTTTTCCACAGGATTATGTCAGCCCTGTAGAGGACTCTGAGGGGCAGCAGGGATAGGTAAGAGTATTGGATTATATGGATCAAATAGTATAGGTTTGCTTACAAAGTAGAATTCACAGACATCTGCAGAAATACTGAGAAAAAGAAAATGCTTCCTCAGCAACCAGGGTCAAAATAGCTTTTGGTCTGGCATATATTGCATATTTTCTATTACATGAGGTAATATATAACAAAAGATATCCAGAATAACTAACAGTTGAATGTAAATGAGACAAAGGATAAAACATTGTTGCATTTTACTGAAATTTTGGAAGTGCTGACACCAACATAGGTAAGCTGAAGGTTACTGAATAGTAGTATGATTATTATACAATAATATAATGTATAGTAGTAATGCTTAATAATGAGACCTGAATAATTAGGACCAATTACCAATTTATCAGAAAATTCTGTCATGAGAAATATAATCAATGTTATCTCGCTTGGTTTTTGATCTTTTATTCCCTAAGAATCCTTGGAGAGATTGAGGGAGTAGACAAGCATTATTGACAGACTTATCTTGTTATTGGACCCTGGACTGTACAGCATGTCATTATGTTTTAGCTTGGACAAAACTTACAAGCATCGTTGATTTGTACATGCAATATAATGGCTTCGCTTACGAATTTAATAAAGTATATCTTGTTTTATTTCAGATTATGCCATTGTACACAGAGATCATATATAGCTGAAGCACAATGTATATAGTACCACAGCTTGTACAATTGTAGCTGTTGGACTTCGTAATGTGAAGATACTATAGGTTATCTTTTCCTAAATATCTGGATCATGGTGCCAGAAATAGACTGAGTGAAACTATGTTTAAGCAGGGATGGGCAGGTTTACCTCCTCCGCATATTTCACCTGCCTGTTAATTACTTTTCTCCCACGTAGGTCTTTCCTACCAAACCAACTTGGATAGAGCAAAATAAAAGGAAGATGGGAAAACCTGGCCTAGATAGATAGATAGATAGATAGATAGATAGATAGATAGATAGATAGATAGATATAGTGTGTGTATATGTATGTATAAATAGATATTGTGTGTGTGTGTGTGTGTGAGAGAGAGAGAGAGAGAGACAGAGAGAGATTATGTGTATATACTATATAATATGTGTATACACACACATACACACACACACAAACTGCCTGAAGAAATAGCAGATATTCCAGCATCTCACAAGATTTTCTCTTTCCCAGACACAAGTCACAGAAAAATTAATATGGGTTCTGGTAGCATGAAAGAAAGTTCGTGAGACATGGGCAATGAAAGGATTTGATATCCGTCAACCTTGTTAGAGTTTAAGAGTTGTGGACAAATCATTATTCATGTTTTCTTTTGTTACAATATGCTTCCGTAGCATCATTAAAGAGTAATAGAATAAAACTTTTATTGAATTAGTCATTTGACTATATCAAAAGTATAAAACTAATACAATTATACAAGCAGATGCAGACAAAACAATAGGACATGTTCAGAATAAGTCATTACTCCTCCAGTGATTTAAATATTCCATCCTTTTGGAAATGGCCTTTGAAAAATGACATGCCGATTCATTCCATGAAAAAGGTAAGACAGTTTCTCTCCAGTGCTCTCTTTTTAATTTTTAAATAAGAGTCTAAATAATCAGCTCTTTTGGCAGAGTGCAGTTTGCAGTCAAAAAGAATAGTTCAAAGTTTTCGATGGCTGGTGCTCCACAAATATCAAAGGAACTTCATGAACTCTCTTACTATAGAGTCTAGTAGTTTGAAATTAGCTCTAGAAAGAATTCTGGAGATTTTGAGCCATAAAAGTTGTTAAAATATTTTTTTCTGACTGGGAGCCCAATCTGTGTTGCGCCAACCAGTGGTGGGATTCGATTTTTTTTACTGGTGGTTCTGTGGGCATGGCTTGGTGGGCGTGGCAGGGGAGGGTAAAATCTCAAGTCAGAGGTGGTATTTGTCGGTTCTCTGTACTCCTCAAAATTTTCGCTACCGGTTCTCTAGAACTGGTCAGAACCTGCT